TCCCCCCTAGGTGCAGGTGGTCCGAATGTAGCCCTTACATCCGGAGTCGACATGGTGGTTATCTCCACGGTTTATTTTCTCTGTCTTTGCACAGCAACAACTGTCAGGGAAGTTGCATTTGGTGCAGATAGGGACAGCCACCGCTGAATGAGAAGCAGCCAGCGCTGCTGAAGTAGGCAGCCAGGGAATTCTAGAGGAGGCTGGGAGACAGCAGAGCTCTTTTCCTCGTGCTATCGTAATGCATGGCTAATTGTCAGTGCTCTCGGGGGTTTTATTCAGGATGGCAGAGGATACATATTATTTGCATAGATTGGTCAGAAGGAATTAGCACTGTTTGTCTTGTTCTTAGTTAGGTCCCCCTAATCATTTCTCATTATATAGCACACAGAATATTTTTTGTAAGTCATTTACTCTTTTTTTTTTTAGCTGGGTGTTCATTTCAAGGAGGTTTATGAGTGCACAGGTATTTGAAGAACTCCCTATAAATAAATGTATTCTTGCAAGTGAATTCTTGGACTCGGTAGCTGGTTAAATGCCCTTTAATGTGTTTAGGAGCAGTGAATCACCACGTTCGTCCTATTATCTATGTGAATAATGCAGAGTTTGTAACCCTCCAGTAGAAATACGCCTACTCATACCTGGGAGAAGTAATACTTCCAAAGTCAAGGAAGCATCTCCCCTTGCTTTTTTTCTTTCTCTCTTCTCTGTGTTGAGGTATCTGTGTGAATGGCTGTTTTCTGGAGTAAACTTTCCTCCCACCCTTGCTGCTCTAGCCACGCTGACAGCTGCTAATGCTCTTTACAAAAGATGATTTCTATTTCTAGCCTGACTAGCAGTGCTGGGAATTAAAGTGCGACCTCTTTACTGTCAGGATAGTTCTGGCTGAGCACAGCAGTGTCTAATTCAAAGTGCAGCCCAGAGTGAGTAAGGGAGTGGCTACTCTGCAGAAAAGAGCAGGTTTTTATCATCTCTTTGAGGGAATAATGTAGCAACTCCTGCACTGGCAAAGCTGAGGGTGGAGATGTTATTTGTATCTCAGTAGATGGCAGTCTGTTTCTTGAGTCTGTGCTCTCAGGCCAGCACTCCTGCCTGGGCCTGGTAGGCCAATTGAATTTGTCTTTGGGTTTGCTTTTAGTAAGATGTGTTCATTAAAAAGCTGTTCTTGTAAGGTTAGGAAAGTTGGCCACGATTTCTGAGCTACATTCCATTGCTGGTAAGAATATCCTGGCTCCCTGGCATTTTCAGTCAGATGCATTTATATTTTTGCTTCCTTTCAGGGTGCTTTCAGGCAGTGCCTCAGTTCAACCCAGAGTTGGCTGCCTTTCAGCAGAAGCTGAAAACACCCAGAAAGCTTTGTTAATTTAGAGGTGACGTTGCTCAAGTCTATTTTCTCTTGACAGCACAAACACTGCAGAACAAGAACAAAAGTTAAGGCTACAAATTTGCCCTACTCAGGGGCAGGTTTTGAATGCCATACTGACTGGGCTGACCTCTGCAGTTCAGTATTTTCTCTCCAATTGGTCACAATCCTTCTTGAGCTCGTGCACTGTAATTGGTTACACTGCATCATTGAATAGTTCTGAAAACCATCAAGATTTATTTAATTAAAAAAATTACACCCAAAGGCAATATTCCTGACTTGCTGTTATGTTATGCACTAGACAGAACAGAAAGATGATCTAACTTTCCAGTCAACAACCACAAGCTAATACCTACAAAGCCTAACTACTATCAAATCAACTGGGTGACACTGACTATGCTTAAAAAGCGTATATTCCTGAAGTGTCTTTGCCACACTGATTCTCGGATGCATTCTGTTACATCTAAATAATATATTAGGAATTAAAAGATTGGAGGTAGCATTGCATGTTAAAATGTGATTTTCAGATCTAAGAAGTGTGCATAGAGTAGCATATAGTATAATAAACAAGTATGCCTTAGCCAGACATCTGGTTTATATAGTGCTGGATGTTCCCTGTGCTGTGAGCTGTGCAGTTGCACTGAGTCAACTATAATAAACCAATACATTCATATTTATTAATTTTTTATGTAGGCTTTTAAAAACAGGAAGAGAAGTGAGAAGAAGACAGGAAATCAGAGGAAGATGTCTGTGAGACGCATCTCTGTTAAACTGTTTTTCAAGCCATATGAATAGTTTCAGATCTGGCTAGACTCAAGAATTAAATTCAGGTCCTAACCCTTTTTTAGCTTCAGACTACTGTGGACTTATCTCATTCTCTTAATTTTGCCATGCGGCTTCTCTATCTGCAAGACAGGAATAATAACTCTATCTGCCTCTCCTGGGTGCAGTGGAGCCAATTTCATCACTGTCAGCTCTGTGGAATCCCTGGGTGAAAGGAACAACAGAAATACAGAAAACATGGGTTATTAATAGCTGGTGCTTGCCCTTACATACATCATATGCACCATTAGTCATTCTGGCCAATAATTTACAGGGAGTGGAAAGATGTTCCTCAGTGTAAATACAAAATGACACATGGATGATATTAGACCTCTGAGGTGTTGTGGTCCCTGAGAGTCTATTCAGCCTAAACCCAGTGATGCTACCCTGAGCAGGTCATACTTTATATGTGGGTAAGATTAAAATGTGCTATGGAATCTTAATAGTTAAATTTTAACTTCTAGGTGCTTTACATTGTAAAGACAGGTGAATTTAAGGTGCTGGAAATCGGTGTACAGACAAAATTCTTGTCAGTTTTCAGAAAGCCTCCTTCATAGAGTCCACAGATTGTCTTCTCCCTGACATCTTGAATACCCTTTTATTAGCAGGGGTGCATCGGATACAGAAGTTTGCCTTCTGCATTTTGTAAGTGATGGCTTTAAAGGTCAGAACTGAAGGGAGCCTGTGACAATCATCTTGAGGCACTAGTACATCCTCGAGGAGACCTGTGGTTTAAGAAGCACATGACAATGAATTTTAGCACTTCATCTTTGCCCGCATTGCAAACCATGATCCTCTGTGGACAGTTCAGCAGTAAGAGCAGACCAAGACTGAAGAGTGTGTGAAGTGTGTTTGAAGATCTTAGAACTGGAATAGCCAGAAATGCTGTAAATCAGGATGCAGGACGGCTGACCATGGTATGCCCATGCTTCACTATAGATATTGAAATCACTGGCCAGCTTAAAAATAAGTCACTTACCTTTACATCTTTGTGTGTCTGACCACGTCTATCTCATGCCATTAATTTGAAACTTGGGAAAAATTATTTTCCTTGTGCATATCTCCTTCTGTATCCCCTAAGGCAAATTAAAGATGGCTGCGAGGTAATTTATTTTCAGTAATAATATACACACTGCTTCCAGACTTCCTGCTATTGTGCGATTATCTAGATTAATTGACTAGGAAAGCTGCAGCATCATCTCAGGCCCTTAATAAGAAAGACCGCAACATGGATTTATACAGTATTAATGCAGATCACTGTGTGACACGGCCTTGCTCTTAGAAGCGTATGGACAAATCTTTTTGCTGAGTGTCTTCCAGCATCAACTGTACCTTTATACTAAGTGAAGGATTGCATGCTACCTTGCCTGCAGGGGCATGGCACCCTGAGAGCAAGAAAGGGATAGTCGATGGCATTTTCAGAAACGTTAGTGGCTAACTTTGCTCATGCTGAAGTCAGTTCCTGTCAGCCTCTGCTGAATGTTTCTGAGAATTGCTGTTTGTGACCCTGGCTGTACATGTCAAATGGCTGGAATATTAAATATGCTTTTAGGTGCTTTAAAATGTTAAGTTCTTAACAAGGAGTGAGAATCTATACAGAAGAGGCTTTTAAGGCATATTCTGCCTTTTTTGTTTTCATTAACAAATTGGTGTAGTTACCTCATTATAGTGGTACTGTTATGCAGCAGCTCAATCTGGTCCAAGGCCCAGGCTTAAGCTGAACAACTCTTACCAAAGCTAGATTTTGAAGATCTTTGAGGCAAATCTATTTCTCCTAAAACATTTCAGTGATTTTGACTGTAAACTTTCAGACAAGAGAAGCAGCATGTGTGTGTCGTTCTTCAGCAAGCCCAAGTTTCCCTTATTACATCATTGTATAATACAGAGTCACTGTTGACTTCATTGCTATTAAGATGATTTGTTTGAAGGAAGGCTCAATTCTCTCCTTTGTGGTAACTTGCTCTCGCCTTTTTTATGGTCTGGGAAGTTAGGCTTGTTTGGTACCCGAGAGATTAATGATACTATAAACACCACGCTAATTTGTGTGACTGACCGGAAGAGCCACTGCATCTTTTCAAGTATTGCATCCCCAAACAAATAAATAGGAAACTCTATTCAGACTGTGTGTGCCTTCAAAACCACTGAAGTGGAGATAAGCTTCTTGGAGACTGTGTTTCATGGAACAGTAGTTAAATGTTGTCGTTGCTTACTTTAGAAATAAAATAGGTATTTCCAGGCATGTGACTCTGAGGTTTATCAATCATTTCTGTACAGTACAGGAGTCTATAATGTGTGGGCTAAGCTCCTAAAGTCCTAGCTCAGTGTGAGCTTAGCTCAGCAAGAAATCTAAACTGAACACTGCAGATTACAGCACAGTCTTCAGTTCCATCCTCATCCCAGTGCTGTCATAGCTAGCTACTTCTAAAGAAGGATCAGGCCCAAATAGCTTTGTTGACGTACGAACTCTGGGGCCTTCCAAATACTTATTCTCTCTCTCTTTACCTAACAGTTGCTGTAGTAACTACAACTATGTTGGTCTCTTCTTGGGTGGCCCTGACGACCCAATCAGAGTTTTCCAAGTGGTATGTCCAGCTGTGTACCCACTTCCTCTTGGAACCCTCTAAGCCAGAAGCTGAATGTTCCTGTGATATTAAGCACTTAATTAGCAGTTTATGCACTCTGAGTTGAGCAGGCAGGCTAGCAGAGCATAGGCAGTGAATGACACGGGGAATGTGTATAGAGCGTAAGTTCTGTTGACCTGAGCTCTCTGATCTCCTGCGCTATAGCCGATCTCACATGTCTCTCTCTTGCTGTCCAGGTTTTACTGGGATTTGACCATGCTGCTTCTGATGGTAGGGAACCTGATCATCATCCCTGTGGGCATCACATTCTTCAAGGATGAAAACACTACCCCGTGGATTGTCTTCAATGTGGTTTCAGACACATTCTTCCTCATCGACCTTGTCCTCAACTTCCGAACAGGCATTGTGGTGGAGGACAACACAGAGATCATCCTGGACCCGCAGAGGATCAAGATGAAGTACCTGAAGAGCTGGTTTGTGGTGGATTTTATCTCCTCCATCCCTGTGGACTACATCTTCCTGATTGTTGAAACCCGCATTGATTCTGAGGTGTACAAGACGGCCCGGGCATTGCGCATTGTGCGCTTCACTAAGATCCTCAGCCTCCTGCGGCTGCTGCGGCTCTCCCGGCTCATCCGTTATATTCATCAGTGGGAGGAGGTGAGCAGAGGCCGTGATGCGCTTGCATACTAAATCTTTTCTCCACTTATGCTGATATTACACAAAAGTGCTTTCTCTGGAATACCCATTCTTCTATTTTATCCTAGTGTGAATGGTTAAGAATAGTGTCTTGAGTCTAATGCTTTGCTTTTAGTAGGTTCCCAAGAGGGCCTTCAGCATATTGCTACTTAGTCACTTGAAACTGTGCTATCTGCTTCACGATCATAATATATATAATCTGTGGAGGTGATGTGTGGGCTGGGAGGAGAGGAAGTACAGGTGGTCTGCCAGCGGGAAGCGTGTACTTAGAGAACTGCCTGTGAGGGGGGCAGCTAGCCGGGCAGTGGGGTCTTCCCCCCGCAGAGCCTCAGAAGGTCCAGAAGCAGCTGAGAAGAAAGGTCTGAGGATAGCTGCTTTGCAGAACCTGTGGCATTTGTTTACCCAAGCATCTTATTTTGCATGCTTCTCTCTCAAATAAATGTCTTGGTGATGTATTTATAGCCTTTTTGCTTTCTAAATTCTGACACTATGCTAAGGGGAAGAGGAAAGCAGACAAATAGGGTCTCTTTAAAGACATAAAGGTCTAGGGAAAAGCAAGATCCCCACAACCCCAGGGCTCTGTACTGTTCCCAGGGGAGTTCCAACAACAGGGTGAGTTGTTAGACATAATGGGAGTGAAGCCACATTCTTACAAGTAGCTTAAAAATTAGTTATTTTTTCCTGTCTCCATGCTCTCCAAAGCAGAGAGAAAGCTCCCTGCAGCTTTCTCCACATGTCAGGAGTGTATTTTCAGGACAAGGAAAGCTGGTTAAGGCAATTTCATCTTCTTCCCTGTACTTTCTCTTCTGCTTTGGAGCAGAGCCTGATGCAGAACCTGATCTAATGCAAAGTGTGCTCCTGGGAATGTGAAGGGAAAGCAGCCATGCAAGTCTTGACTAGATTGCACCAAGCTGTCAGAACACTCTTTTGTGGTAGAGCAGTTTCCTCCTCCCAGCATCATGGACTCAGAGGGAGAGCACTGGTGCACACTTTACAGATTTCAGGCTTCATCTTTGTGGTATTAAAGTTTGCAAACGCTTCACTTAGAGCAGAGCCTAATGCCTTGTTAAAGTTTGGGATGATGTGCAAGATGCTGTACCGATGTATAAGGAAAGATGGCTACAGCCCTAAACAATTCACTAGTAGGGGAATTTGTTTCATAGCATGGGCAGGCAGGAAGTGCATAGAGATATGGAGAGAAATAAAACAAAAGTGTCCTTCCTGGTGTGACTCAGTAAGTCAGAGACTGAGCAGAGCTAATAAATATCTCCAGATCTGTTGTCTTGTCCCTTGGTTACATTGCTTCCCTGTCCTCTAACCTGAGAACGCTCAGGAAAGACGGGGTGGTGGCTTAGGCTGTTGTTACTTCATACAGATGTACAGGTAGCCGCAGCAGTGCAGAGCTCTGTGGTTTTTTGTCTCTGCTCCTTGACTTCCTTTGCTTGAGATGGCTGAAGAGGATTTCAGTATGTTTGCTGTTGAGCAAACTGAATTTGTTTTTAAATGTAATGAGATGAAAGCAAATCATCGCCCTTCCCCTTCCTTGCTTCTCAGTTTCACTGAGCAGCCATTTCTAGTTTCAGTCTTGTAATACAAATCAGTGCAGCATTGTTCCCTTCTGCTGGCTGTCACGGGTACGGGGAGACAGCACAGCCAGGTGCTCTCTGGACCCCCCCTGAAGAACAGATTCCCTGGAGCGATGCAGTGCTGCAAGTGGAAGGGACAGATGGTGCTGGATTGCAGTTTGAGACTGCAATGCAGACTCTGTTATGCATTGCAGAGCCCAGCAGAGCAAACATGATAGTCTTTTTTTCAAACAGAGCTTGACCCAAGCAGCAGTTTCCCAGAGAGTGTGATACTAGGAAGTTTTCCACCTTCTCAAATGGGGGAGGGAAGCAGAGGAAGGATGATGCCTTGTCATTGGTGCAGTGCATGCTACAAAGCAGCAAGGAGACAGGGAAGAGAAGTGCTGCTTCATCTTTGCATGGAAGTAAACAGTTGCGCTCCCTGGAACCACACAGACAGTTCCTTCCTTTTACTTTGAAGTGCCTACAGATGATCCATCTCTGACAGTTCATGTTAATCTTTCCTCACTGCACAGATCAGCAGTGGAAGTGTTAATTCCTGTGGGATGGCGCAGTATTGGTCTCAACTTACTGGGGTGTACACGAGGGGTGAGTTGCTATGCAGACTTCAAGAAGGAGGAGGACTGTTGGGAGAGAAGGTTGCTGAAGACTTCTCTTTTGCTCCCCCACACTATTCCACTCTACATACCTTCTGCTAGCTAGTAACCCTCTTAGGCTCTTTGTATATGGCTAGATAAGCTAAAAAGACTTGTGACTAGGGCATGCTGGTCCGCTGGAGAAGTGTGTGCGAACTGCAGGAACGCCCGCGGGGCAGCCTGAGGGAGAGTTAATAGGGGTGGATGGACTAGTCGGAGAGGGAGCATGCTGCCTTGTGTCTGGATAGAGCATCCCCACTCAAGTGTATTGAGCTTGTGCAGTGACTTTTGATGAAGCAATTGCTGTTGCTTTGCTTATAACTGAGACTCTGGGTCCTGCATGACGGGGAGAAGAGGATCCAGTACACAGAGAGATGTTAATCTTCTTATTGTTCCTCCTAGACGAACATTACATCTGTGCATTAGTGTAACGCTGCGTGAGACCAGGGATAAATGGTCACTTCTTGAGTTCACAGTGAGCCTCTCTGTTTCTTTCCCTGCAATTGTCCATGCTCTGCATGAATTTATCACTCACCCTGCAGTGAGGAGAGAGCAGCCTTCTCTAAGGCTGCAGTGCTGTAAAACAGCCAGCCACTCATCAGTTCCAAATCAATGCGAGTCATGAGTCTGTGGGCTCAAGAGCCAGTGGTTTGAAGTGCCTGCACCGTTCTGGCTTAGCAGCGGACTACTCTGACATCCACCCCCAGATCTGAAACAAATGCTTTGGAGACTACAGCTGGGCAAACAACTTAAAGAAAAAAAGAAAAGTAAAAAAGAAGAAAAACAATCTTAGGCACTCATGTTCACTGGAATACGAAAATAAACCTAATTCCAAATGTGGCAGTTTCATTTGCATGATCCATTTTGCATGAGGGGCCCAATGAATGAATTTACCAGTAGGGCAGAATATAAATAAAGTCTTTTTGAAGTGTCTGCCATATCTACCCTGCAGTAGGAAGCTTGATTGCAATGTAGAAAGGTATGCACTGGCTAGAGCCTAGCTTGCCTGAGTATCATGTTATAAACTTCAAAGTCTGGTAGTTACCAAGTCCATAAGCAGAGATCCGGGAAGGCTGGCATGTTCTGTGTCTGGAGCCATACTGCTAGGGTTAGAAAAACCGTGGGTACTCCAGTGATGCCTTGTTCATACCCAGCTCTCGTCATCTCGACCTTTGAACTGTTCCAACAGCTCTTCAGGGTAGCTGGGTGGGTCAGTGGTTCTTGGCCATGTGAACATGGAAGCACATTGTCGCTCACAGGGTCAGGGAGTTGGGCCTTCGTGCTGTTGTCTCCGAGAAACTGTTCAAAGAAAGCAGACTCTGAACATTAACGTCCTACATACCGTATCCCAAGGTCACCCAGCAGAAAGAATAAAAGCAAAATAATACCGTGTAACCCATATACTCAATCAGAATGAACCGGTGCAGTTCAGGTTGTGAATGTTAAACAAAAAAAGCTCTTTACGTTTTCATAGGCAAAAATGATTGAATTTTGTTTTCCCAAGAGCAATTTACTGAACTTTCCCCATTTTATGCATCTTTCCCCGTGTTTTTTTGCCAAGATGCAGTAACCTATATTTAAGATCAAACTATTTTGACTTAACAAGGAACATTTATTGGGACAACAGTAAAATCCTTCTCCTGTAGATTGATTTCCAAATAGCAATAGGCTAAGACTGCCAAAATATCTTTATTTCAGAATCTATGTGAGGGTTTATGATGGGAAGGAAAGGAGCTAGCTGGTTTTGATATATGTCACAATGATAAGAATATTATGAGAGGATTTTTTTCAGATTTTTGCCAGAAAAAAATTATAGTCTTCAATTTTTGCAGCTGAAAGCCAATGAAAAGGACAATCTGGTGGTTTTCGAACTATTACATCAATGAAAACTTGAAAACTTTCCTGAATGCTGTGCTTTTCTTCCCTTGAGTTTCAATATTACATAGAAGTTTTAGAATGGAGAGAATGCGTCTTCTCGAGTCTGTTATTGGGCACAGATTACATCATCTGAAAGGTGACATCACTTCTGAGAAGATTCAGAGATACTCAGAAAATTGATTCAAAGGCTAGAGGGCCTATGTGGAAGGACTAGGAGAGAGCTTCCAAAGACTATGAGAATGTGGCTTCCAATTGATTTTCATTTTGATTTGAACAGCTAATTCCCTTAGTTTCTTCTGACCTATTTGTAGCCTTCCTTAAATTAAATTAAAATAATGTGGCTAGTGGCCTGAGGGAGGTGATGTTAGGCCAAATCCATAACTGGATCCTAAGAGGGAGGAGCTCGTGAGCACAGCAGGGTCCCATTCCATAAGCAGTTCAAAATAGCTTAGTAGATTATTTTATCGATATGATTTGCAATTCTGCCGTGTTAAATAGCAAGGCAGACCCGTGAGAATAGCTCATTAAAACTTCTGGCCACCCTTGAGTAAAATCAGGCTCAGCAAACACTGGTAATGTGTCAGGGAGAGGGAGAATGGGCTGAGCTTCTTCCTAAATTTGCATTACCTCATTTCTGAAGGCAGCAGGATCAAGCATTTGTCTTTCATGTCATTACAGGAGCTTCTTAGAACCATAATGCAAGTTACAGCAATTTTTGTTCTCACTGCACAAAGTTACCCAAATCCCAAGCATCTTTTCCTTTTAGAGAAGATGCTGCTGCACTGAAATCAATGACAAAAAACTTGTTGACATATTAGAAGGCGATTGTTCAAGATTTTAGCATAGCCTTTTGCCTTGAACT